TGATATATATTTTAACATCTACAAATATATTCAAAGTGAATCTTTTTAAATTAATAAAATTTCACCTGATTATTGGCTGCTTCTGAAGTAACTAAATGATAATATCATGTCTAAAAAAAAACTAATATTTTCCCAGCTATCTTACAATGTGCCTTCCTAGATTTCTACTGCAATGAAAGATACATTAAAGGATAGAATAAAAGATACACAAAGTAACATTTTATAATAGACTATAATGCTATTACATTAAAGTGATATTTTTAAAAAGTGATATTTTTCTTAACACATCTAAATACAATCCCGATTATTTTGGTTTTACAATAGCAACACTGTGTTGATTTTAATTTTGGACAGTTTTTTTTTTTTTTGAAAATAACATATCAATAATTCAAAATATTTGTTAAATAACATAATATGCTAAATATAGATTAAAAATTGTAAATGCTCACAGGATAACTGAAATTAATATATATCAACTATTACAGTCAATAGTTTAAAAGGAAAGAATATTTCAAAAACAAAAACATTTTAAAAAGTTAACTCTACAGTTTATACTTAATATTTTTTGTTAACTTTTTGAAAATCTACTTTGGTTATAAATTAAACAAATTCCATCCTAAATAATGCATCCTACTCATATTAATCATTGTAAGTAATATCAAATAATCATATATTTGCTAGGGCCCCCATTTCTTTCAAATCATCTGTTATCCAAAGAACTAATAATTTCACATTTTAATTTTTAGTCCTTTAAAGTTTCTCTCACACATCTTTTCATTATTTCAAAGCTAAATGCAATTTAAAGAATAAGAGTATACATTGGAAGTGAATAGTCTACCAACACCATGTACAAGTTTCCCCTCTTACAAAATATATTTGGTAAAACAGCACTATGAACTAACATCATTCTGCTGAAATCTTTTCACTGGGACTATAATTTGCTGAAAAATATGAGTATAGGCTTTAGAGCTCACACATTCCTTCTGAATCAAGCATTTTGCCCAAGAGCACAAAATACCTTAAGGAAAAATTGTTTTCATCTGCCTTTTAAAACTATTAGAGGTGTGGAGTCAGACATCCTGATGTACATTAAACATGCCAATCAATTCGAATATTAACTTTTTTACTCTGTAAAAGGTATATTACCCACCTGGTTACTTGTTGCAATAACAAAATGAGTTGTTTACAACAGTTAAATGTAAACTATCGGTTAGTACTCTTTAATTAAATGGTGGACATATCTTAGAACAGAATAGGTGCTAAAATTTAAACATTATGAAGGGCTAGTCACACAATTGTGAGCAAAGACTGGGCAAGCACCATTTTCCTCTGTAATTTTTACACTGACATCACTGAAGATATCACAGCTATATCTTTTAAGACAAGACAAATGAACATCAAGATACATTGCAATGGCAGTATTCTCTATTATTAATAGTTTAACTTATAAAAACAAATACTTTGAGTAAATCATATGAGACTTCAACAGAATACAATTTCTGAAAATTCTTCTGTCTTTTATTGAAATGAAGATATCTTTGTGATAAAGGTATGTTCAGATTATTTCTAAAGTGGAAATAATAATTTCCTTGCTTATATTACAGAGTAAGTGTAAGGAAAAAAGAATTTGATACCAGAAAGCTTTATGCAAGTTTGGGTTTTCTTCTATTATTTTCCCTTATTAATGTATATTTTTAGAACTATATATAATAATCATATAAACAAATATCAATATGAACTTCTATTGAAAATGATTGTAAAATAAAAGTAGCAACTAGTGAAATTCTCGAAAATGGAAATTTTCCATGGGACTCTAATTAAATATACCATTCTAAAACTTTAAATATATCATTGAGCAAAAATAATCACATTTCAATTCCAGGGACTTCAAAAAGTAATCACCTTTGTGAAATTAGAACACGAGGTTTCTTATGAGAATGTAGTTACATAACTGTCTTTAAATGAAAAAGGCTGTTTCCTTCAGTTAAGCCTTCAATTAAAGTGCACTTTCATATTCATTAAACTCAGAAGCCTAGAAAAATCCTCTAAATCTGTCATGTTCCAATGAACTGCATGAGGAATACTGGTAATTATTAAATTTTCCAGATCATGTGGACATTTCTGATTTTACTCCTGTCATTTACTCATACGGCTTATAACACTGGATATGAATTTTAAAGGAGTACAGGCCAGACAAGGTTAGTGTCTTACTGATGAGATTTCAGCAAAGAAGGAGATGCCAATATTAAGATAAATGAGACTAAACAAATAATCCAAAGACAGAGCTTCTTTTTCTTTTTAAAAAAAAATTATGACATATTCTAAAAAGTGCCTTATGACTTCCAAAACACATATTTAAATATTTTATCTTACCGATTCTCAAAGTAATAATTTTTATTCTCTGAGACTATTAAAATTATCCTCTGCAGATATTTACAAATAGTTTATTGTAAATTGTAAAGAAAAACATTATTTATACAAAGTCAAAAGTTTTTGTAGCATACTGAAAAAATATATGTATGCTATGTGAAATATAATATTCTTTAAAAAATTATGCTTGAATGTATGTGTCAGATTTCATGTCTGTTTTAGCATAAAATAGATGAAGACTTTAAGTATGAATGTGATTTCAAGTAAAAAAAAAATGAACAGATGAAAAGGATAAAAAAATGAAGATTCTCATACATACTACTTCCTGTGGACAATACTGGCTCCAAATAATCAAATAATAAACTATATGCTTACTCAGAATCTACCTTGACTACCAATACTAGACAAACGGAGGACATCTTCCTAAAGAATGTAAAGAGGTAAACGGCCACTTATTTCAGTCACAGTGGTTTTTGCTTTATTTTCTTTTACATGTAAGTC